TCAAGTCATCCTAGCCATCTATTTAGATATGACGGCATATATTTATATATTGGTAGGCTCTTATTTAAAGCTAAATGCCAACGTCTCCTTTTTTTCCCTCTCAAAAGGTATATCACTATTTTTTGGGCAATTCAGTGGGGAGTATAGGCCTCTACATGTTTTTCCAACTAGTTTATAAGTTAGTTTTTTGAAGGTGTCAGTGGGGTAATGTTAGTAGGAACCACAACATAGTGACTAGGGTGTGGGGGTGCTACCACCACGACCTGGCCCATTTCCTAATATATCACTATCTCTCCCTTTGCATAACACTATCTTTCCATCACTCTTTCTACCTCATATATCGACCATACCTCCCTCCCCAACCTCATCATTAAAATATATCTATGTTGTAGACATCTTTCACTAGTCATCGATCTAAACAACCAAGTTTCAAATTGGGGTCGTAATGGACCCTAACCCGACCCGAGTCTAGGTATGGGTCCAATAATTGGACCCGTCGGATTTCCTGGTCCAAATATTGAACCCGAACACTATTTGGATCTGGGTCCATGTGGATCCAACCAAAATAGTGTTATTATCTAAATATTTCGATTAAATAAATATAACTATATATTTTTTGTTCTAATATTTAAATAATATATGCATATAATTAGCATAACATTTAAATGTATCTTTTTGTATTTTTGAGTCAGGTCCAAATCCGAATCCAGTCGGGTCTAGGTCCAATAACTTCAAGTCTAGGTTTGGTACCATACTCGACCCGACCCGACTTGGAAACGTTGCCGCCTCTAGTTTAAAATTAACACCCCACCAGTCTCTATATACCTCATCAAAAGCACTATACATCAAAAATTTCACATCATCTTTATTAGCATTTGAATAAGTATTCTTTAAGAACAAATACCCATGATTTTAATCCCATAAAATTCTGGATGTAATTATCCCTTACATCAATGTTTCCATGTGAAGAGAATCCCCATAACAAAGATTTTGCAAGGGGGAATATGTGTTGACATCAGTGTTAGCAAAATCGAACCGGAACGGTTAACCGGATATGGGCTTGGAAGTGGTTTAACAGGCCTAAGCGGTAAATCGGCCGATTCAACCGCTCTAACCAAGTAACTCCACGGCGGTAAAAAAACAGTTGAAAAAAAATAAAAAATATACAAAAAAAAAAACTACTAAAATATGAAAACATATAAAGAATGATTAAAACAAAACGAATTCAAATGAAGTTGAAAATTTAATGAAAAAAAAATGGATTTTAAACCATTTTTCTAAAAAAAGATGAAAAATATAAAAGTGAGTATTAATGACCAAAACAATTTTTAATCTTTAGCATAATGTAAATAATATTTAAAAATACGTTACAAATCAAATTCCATATTTTTTATAATTTATATACATTTTTGTTTTTAAATACCAGTTTATCACCCCTAATCGCCCGATCTAATCGGGAGGTTAGCGATTAGATCGGACGGTTTTGCGAACAGTGGTTGACATCATAGTTAGTAATACTCATTTTAAAGCGTAATATGATTGTTAAAATAAGTTCATAAAAGCTCGGTTTTTTTGAAGATAGTCCAAAATATGGAATATCACTTTTCAAAAAATGTTGTTAAAAAAATCCCCTTTGTAATAGAGTTACTATTTGAATTCATCTCTCTTGGTTCATTGGACAAACCTCCATTATCTCTTTCTCTCTCCCAGAGTTTACTTTGCCCTTATACTTCATGAGCCTCACCGTAGAACATAAATTCATACTTTACTACATTATACTTAAACCATTTTAGTTCTTGGAATGAGTTTGGTCAGGGTAAAGACTAACAAAGTCTTATGATCTAGATATTTGATTTTTTATATTATAAAATGATTAGTTGGGATAAGGTTCGAATGATGATAATAATAATATTATGAAATTATTATTTTTTGTTTTTACTTCCCGTTCATTATTTTTAGTAATCCTCCTTATAAAAGTTCACTAAAAATATACTCATATTGACCTATTTTTTAAGTTATGCTTTTTCGGGCCATGGAAATAGTCATGTTTGGCAATTTGTACTTTTTGGAACAAATCTTCACCATGCTTTTTTGGGACCAAAACCAAACTAATGACTACTTAGTGCTCTTAGGCTCTATGTAATTGGCATTGGTGTCGCCAGACCACCAATTGTTTTACAATATTTATTTGATGGATGCAGGTTCTATAAGATTTAGGCCTTATGAAAAAATAAAGCATTACCTCAATATCTTATCTAACAATCACTTAAGGCATGGGAAATACCTGAAATGGTTCTAAAATGTTAGGATTTAACTATAATATGATTCTAAAATGTTAGGATTTAAGAACTCCCTTAGATGCAGAAATAAAAATCCCCAAAGTTGAATCCCACTAATAACATTTATTATCCAGCTAGAGAAACAAACATACAATAAATAAATCATAAAACACACACGACAAGCTAAAAACAAAAATACAATAAATAAAGCATAAAACACACACCACAAGAGCACATGGTTCACCTCAAAAGGGCTACAGTGAACTCAAATGTACTATGCCTATGAAAGTTACATATAAAATTTTGGGACATATAATCACCTCTTTAACCCTCGGCAAACCCACCCGCTCTCCTGATTGACACACCCATCGATCACTCATCTCTATTCCATGCCTAAACCATTACCTCTTTAACCATCGACAAACTTTTTTAGACAAACCTACCCGCTCTATCAATAGACACCCGTTGATCTCTCATCTATATTATATAGCTAAACCATTGTCCAAGAATATACCACCATTGTTCAAGGAGATACCATCTCCGTTCCATATCTAAACCATCTATATTCCATAGCTAAACCACTGTCAAAAAATATACCATATCTATTTTATAGCTAAGCCATATTCTATAACTAAACCACTGTCCAAAAAGAAACCCATCTCTATTCAATAGCTAAACCATTGTTTAGGAAGAGATCCATCTCTATTCCATAGCTAAACCACTGTCCATAAAGATACCCATCACCCATCTTTATTCCACAGCTAAACCATCTTTATTCCATAACTAAACCATTATCTCTATTCCACAGCTAAGCTAAACCATTTCATAGCTAAACCACTGTTCATAAAGAGATTCATCCCTATTCCAAAACTAAGCAAAATCATTCCATAGCTAAACCACTATCATGAAAGAGTCTCACATAGTTATGCTAAACCATTCTATAGCTACACCATTATCCAGGAAGAGACACATCTCTATTCCACAACTAAACCATCTCTATTCCATAGCTAAACCACTATCCAGGAAGAGATCCATCTCTGTTCCACAACTAAACCTGTATTTCATAAACCCTCCAACCATCTCTATTCCTTCCACAGTCAGGAAGAGATCCATTTATATTCCATAATGCAACTAAGACGCTAAACCACTATTTAGGAATACAAACTGCAGCTAAACCACTATCCAGGATGACAAACTTCGGCAATGCAACTAAGTAGCTAAACACTATTCAGGAAGACAACCTGTAGTTAAACCAATATCCAAGAAGACAATTGCAACTACAATAGTTATCTCACTTCACTAAAAGGAGAAACCCCCCAAAATCTCTTATCCATGAAGGAAAATTTGATAGCAACCAATACGTTCTCTCATTAAAAGAGGAAACCTCCAAAACATGTTCACGAAGAGAAACTTGATAGTAATTTAGATGACAACTGAGGCATTCTCTCAATAAAGAGGAAACTATCAAAGTTTTCATAAGAATTTCCATAAAAGAAACTTGAGAGCAACCCAGACGTTATCTCACTAAAAAGGGAAACCCCCTAAAATCTTCATGGAAAAAACTTGATAGCAACAACAAAGACATTGTCTCATTAAAAGGGAAAACCCCCTAAAATTTCTATGGGAGAAACTTGATAGCAAACGAGTTGTCTTGTCCTCACTAAAAGGAGAAACCCCCTAAAATATCTACGAGAAGCCAAACTATCACTAAAACAAGGAAACCCCCTAAAATCTCCATAGGAGAAACTTGATAGCAACTGAGAAGTTTTGCTCTCACTAAAAGGGGAAACATATAAAATCTCCATGGAACCACTTCTCTACAAGAAGCCAGCCTCTCAATATGCTTATCATGCATAAGAAACCCCCAGAATCCCCCAAAATCTCTATGGAATCGATGGCTTGTCTAGAGGAAGCCATCTTTCCCATACAGTGATCCAAATACATATTTTTTTCCTCCTTCGTCTCATATATATAAGATTAGTAATCCACATTAAATAGGAATTTTCCTATACGTATATCTCAAAACCAAGAGATATACCCAAGATTATTAATCTTTTTGTATTTTTATTTTATTTAGAATCTTATCAATATTAATCCCAATCCTAGCCCCATATAATATGGGATTTACTTGTGTGGGTGATTTTGGATATCACCATATTTAACATAAAATATATTTTCCACTATTGCATATGAAATTTATACCTCAAAAAAGTACAAATCAATAAATTATGTAGATTTATGAACATTTGAAAAGAGATGGTTCAGATGATGCATTATAATATATCCTATTTTTTCGGCTTAAAGTCCTAAATTTTTTTGCAACCATAATAATCAAGGTCGGGATGATCGACATGAAAAGTTTCCCACTTTATAATTATAATATCGAGTAAGGTTGGAGGCGAGTCCTTACATTTTTTTTTTTTTTTCCTTCTATAAAGCTTAGTCTCATTTTAACATTTTCGTTCCTTAATTTATCCGGCGTACATAATCATATATTAGTATTACTGACAACAACGTGCGAGGAATCTAAAACGCGTGTGAGGAATCTATAGTGCCTACATTGAAGCCGGATAGTATCCAGAAGCTCTATCTCTCTCTAAAACGCTTTTTCTCTCTAAAAAGCAATCACGCTTTCTCCCTCTAAAGCTCTCTCTCCGCTCTCTCTCTAAAAGGGAGAACAAAACACAAAATCCTGTTAAGTTCCCCCCTTAGTTCCGGAACTCAAATAACAATAGGCTATTTAAACGACTCCTCCCTATAAACCGCGCTCGAGTCCGTGCATTCTCTCGCCAAGACTCAAGACTGTGTTCGTTCTCTCTCATCAACCGCTACTCGCCTCGAAATCCCCCTCTTTGCCCTAAAAAACGAGCTTTCTCTCTCTAATTTTAGCTTTCTCCTGCTGTCTTATACTTTCAATGTCTCTTTGTCTCTCATCAGCTGTTTCTTGTTCTCCCTGAATTCCTTGTTCGGGGGCTTTGAGCTCGACTTCTCTCTCTATATTTTATCTCTTCTATTTCTATTATCAGAATCTTGTGATTGGGTGTTAATGGCGGTGAAGACGCCTGATACATGGCTCGTATGCGATCACCATTGTTTCTGTTGAAGAAGTTTTTATTACTGAGCTGGTTATTGATTTTAGGGTTTCAGTGTCGAAGACAAGCGATTTGAGGCAAAAATTTTCAGAGAAATTGATGGACTACGGCCCTTCAGACAGTAGTGGTGAGTTTTCCAATGATAAACTTATTTGAGGGTTTTCTGAATTCGCCATGCCTCTTGTTTTCCCTCCAAATTCGGTTCATGCAGCACTTCTAGGGTTTTTTTGTTCTTTTTGAGGTATCATTCATGGGAGCTGGGTATTGGTGTTTTGGAGTTTTTCTTCCTGTTGCAAAGCTAGGGTTTTGAGAATTTAAGTGCTGGAGAAGTTCTTAGTCTAGGGTTTCTGAGATCTTGCATTAAGAATGGGGTATGTTGGTGTAGTTTCAGGGTGATGAGTGAATTTCGCATATGTAGAGTAGGCATTAGGGGTTTGTGTATAAGGGCGACTGCCATTCATTACCAGGGGAGACGAGGGTTTTCTTGAAAATAGCTGTATTACGTTTCTTTTTAGGATTTCAGATTTAGCGAGACAATGTATATAATTATACTGTTTAATAGATTTCACTGGGAATTTGATCCTTGTAGGTCATGATAATACATGTTATCAACAGTTTAATCAACATTTGTATCTCAAATACACTCTCTGATAAAAATTATTGTTTATTTTCGTGTAAATTGGTACATACGGAATTTTGATTTTTTTAATTATTTGTTTCTTGATGAGTTGTGGGCGCTTTTGAATGCTGATTAGCCTTCAGGATACATCTGAGTGTATGACATTTTAGAAACACACAGTATGCTATTTTAGGAGATAAGTAGTCTAATTTTTTAGTTGATTCCCTGGTAACATTCATTTGAAGGCAAACCAGACTGCTAATTGTAGAAACTTTAATTTTGAAATTGTTGAAACTGCATGAGGTGGTAGAATTGATGCACCCAATTTCTCTTGATAATATATTGTTCTTCAACACATGAAAGGTCTAATTTTCTGTTACACTTAAAAAGCAATCAAGATTTTGTTTGACAGTTACGAGTGTCAAAGACATGATTGGAGTATTGTGGCTGTTTCCTAATGTGATAAGGCTTTTACTGAATGGCTAAGGTGTTGAATTTTGCAAACCTTTGTCCCGACTTGGAATCTTACTGCTGAACTACCCCGCATGCCCCTCCAATTCTTCCCCCGCCCCCCCAGAAGAGAAAAAAAAAAAAAAGAAGAAGAAGAGAAAATGGAAAAAAAGATGAGGTTTTTAGTATCAACTACCACCAGGTTTGCATTAGTTTGACCACTTACCTTCGAGAGCCGGAAAGTCCAAGTGTTCTCTATGCATAGGGTCCTAGATTTCCATAACATTTGCTAGAATTCTCAATCATCTCCTTATTTGGTTTTCTTATGGTTTTGGGGATAAACTTTATCATCTTGTAGGCGTGACCTTTTAATTTTAGAAGTGGGGCAGGATATTTTTACCTATGGACGACCACTGTTGAGTGTTGACATAGGGATTTCAGCTTATTTTCATTTGCTGAATCTTTGGATTGTAAGATATGGTGGAACGAACGTTGGGTGTAAATGTTTGTTGTGTTGGCTAATCTCTTGTGCATTATTGTTTATCCTTTGTGATAACTTATTGGTCTCAGCTATATTTTTTTGATGTAAGGTGGAGTTGGTGCTTTGTAATTTTGGTTTGGGAGTTGGCTTCTCTTGATTTTCCAACACAGTCAGCTTAATGGAGCTTTGTGTGACTTCTTTGTTGTTTGATACCCGAAAGAGCTTGTTAAAAATATGGAAGGCTGTAGCTACAAAGATTTCATGAATAATTACGTATGTTGGTGTGCTTGAAGGTTTGGGCTTGTTGGATTTGAAGAATTGGGTAGCAATTGTTTGGACTTTCTCACCTAGGTTCCATGCTTTGAAAGGGAAGGTGTCCATCACAGCTCCAATGATAGCAGTGGGGCAATTGGGGATGTTCCAGGGACACGACATGTTCTATTATATGGAGTACGTGGAGTTTCCAATCTTACATTTGTAGGTGGTTTTTGTGGTTTCCAAAGTGACTCAAATTATTTTAAGTTTTTCCCACCTTGACTGCAGGTGTTTGGATGGACCCTCAAGGCATTTAGACTCCTTTGTCCCTTTTGAGTGCCCTTGGACATTGAAAGTAATGGCTTCAACTATCTTAAAAATAAATCAATATTGGGGATTTCTATAGGGATAAAATGCATTTGGTCATTTTTTAATGAGATTGGGCATATTTTAGGGCAGGTAAAATTATGGGTAAGTGATATTTAAATGCTGAACAAGATTCTTGAAGTGCATTGGATGTTTACTTGATAATTATAGTTTTTTTTTTTTTTGGGTAATTCAGTGGGGAATACAAGCCCCTACCTGTTTTTTCAAGTAGATTAGGAGTTGGCTTTTTTTGAAGGTATTTGTGGGGTGATGTTACTGGTGGGAATGAAAACCACAACATGGCGACTAGGATGTGGGGTGCTACCACCACGACCCCAACGTATAACATGATTCAGGTTCCAAATAAAGGGTTTTCTTGCATGCCCTTTCATGCTGTGGTACTTATTTGCGAATGGGTTCAAACCATTAGGTTTTTAACTGGTATCTGGCTTAAAGCAAAGGAACGCAAGCAAAGATGTTCTTGTTTGTGTTTGTTTTTAATGACAATTGTGCGTAACACATATGGAGCCCATGTTGGAGGCATGTCCGGTCTGCACATTTGTTAATACTATTGAGAGGGGGCTTGCACTCCCTTTTGCTTTTAGCATTGCATGGAATCCCTATTATGGGTCTGATGATAGCAAGTTTTAGACAGTGTTATTGGAGGATGTATAGGTTCCTGTGCAGGGAATATTATATAAATATAAGAAACAATTTTGTAATAATGCACTTTATATAATAGTGGGGTTCAGTTAGTATTTAATTGTTTGCCCAGAAATAATTCCAAGTCAATCTGGATACCAACTTGAACTCTTACTAGAAAATTGGTGGAAGTTCCAATCTCACAATCAATATCAAAATAAATTTTTATTTCTTGGTTCAGTCACCTTCAAGCCAGGTGATATCGTGCACCCAAAATCCTTCCAAAGTGATTGCAAAATCAACTCAGATACTTGCTGGAAAAACTGTACAGTTTTGATCACAAAATCAAAATTGAAAAAATCTTTGATTTCCTTGTAAATGGAGTTTAATCCTTAGAACGAAAAAGATTTGGTTCTAATTAGGCCCCCAATGTCTAGGGGGAATAGCTCTGGTTGTGGGCTATTTCTTTTCTTCCACGAGCAGAGCATCAAGATGATAGGATTCCTGCAGAAATGTGGACACCTATAGGGCCAATGTGCAGCCTAGTCGGGCGCAATATGTCAAACTGCCCAGGTGCACCAAAACAGTGCGCCCCCATCCTGCGTTACTTTGATGTGGCTGTGTGATGCATTATGTTGCAAAGGCTATTTCATCACAGGGGCTTAGGATGATTCTAGGAAAGGGGAAGCCATTCACCAAGGGCGTGTGTCTTTTATGAAGTAAAATTCCCTAGCAAGGATGCAGCGCAGATTGGTTGGTGTAGATTTCACTTACGGGCGTGGGCCAGTGAACCGCTATTATCTAAACGTAGAGTTTCTATTGGCCTTTTCAGTTAGGTTATGAGGTCCCTGGTAAGTGGAGTCTTGATCGAGACTTGTGTTTTAACCATCTTGGAGGCCCAGCCTCCATTGTAACTGTCAGATACCACTCAGACAATTTTTTCAAGTTGACACACTACATTGGGGAGGGGTACTTATTGAACAAGCCCCTGCCTCTTGGGTGTGCAAGGCCTTGAGAGGTGAGTATATTGCTAGGCGTGGTCCAGGACAGTGGGTTCATGGGGCATGGATGGTACATGGGTTGCAGATATGAACCCTTGCTGCGTTAGCCATAGACCCCTATTACTGGATCTCTTCCTGCATGAAAAGTAAGTCCATGTATTTTGACTAATTCAAGGTAAAAAAATGGGGTTTATCCCTTGGCAAAACTTACATAAATTGAAGCAATAAATTCATTTGGAATTGCTATCTGTTTGGGATCCATTAGCAGGCCTAGATGAGTGATGTTATGCTAGGGCCACATCATGTATAATAGAGCTGGATGCTTTGTGGCGGTGAATCGGTGATCATACTGTGGGATATAATCCTGTAATGTGTGAAATTATGCCTGATAAAATTTAGTTTTGGTCTTTTAGAGCTCTTGTGTCTAGTTAGGTGTCCTAACTGGGTGAAGTGTGTCGAAGGCACTGTATAAAAGGAATGTGGGCAATATCTGTATTTGTGATTGTGGAAGGTGAACAAAATGGTTTGGAGGTGGAAAATTCCTGGAAGGTGATATTTTTCTGTCATTTTCAATAAGTAAATGGAAGGTAATACTAAATCCTGAATAATATGGGAATTAGGGCTTATTTGGGCTGCTTTAGAGTTACATCGCTAACGCATGGCGATATGCTAATGGGCTGTGAAAAGTAGGGAGTTCCTAAAGGAACACGTGCCCTATGGAAGTGGGGTAGTATAAGCGATTCATGGCAGAAAGATAAAGTGGGAGAGAGAGGGTGTCATGCCATTTAAAGTTTGTGGATCTTTCTTTTCCGAAAGTGAGATTTATGTGGAAAAATCTTGTTATTCTTTTGCAGTGTAAAATAAAGCTGTTTGGCCGCGGAACTCACTCTTCTGGGTGAGCCTATTGTCTCAGACGAGTTCCATTTGGCTTGCTTGAGTCCACGCCGGGCTGCCCAAAGAGCCAAAATAAGTGAAGAAAATATTGAGAATTGAGAGTTTATAAATGATGAGAAAAAAGTTTTCAAAAGATAGAAAAATAGAAACCTAAGCTCATTTTCTCAGAAAACTGAGACGATAACAAAAAAAGGTAAAAATCATAAGATAAAAACATAAATATTACATACAGAATAATTACTAGTCAATTACAATTGTTTAGTCATAGATTAAATCAGGTATAATTAATTTTAATCAATTATGTATACATCCCAAGTTGGGGGTTTTACCTGCTCGGCAGTGTCTTGGGGGAGTCTGAATAGGCTTGCCCTGGTCGGCAAACACTGCTTATCTATGAATGTGGTTCGTGTTTTCTGCTTATAACAAACATTACAATCTGATTGAAGGCTCCAAATTCCTGGTAACACCAGTATTAATTTTCTTTCTCTCATCTCTACTATCTTCTAAACAGTTGTAGTCTGAGCACCCAAATTGTGGACTGCCGCCTCTAGTTTTAGTCACTTATAAATTCTTTTTTCTTTCAATACAAAAAGTCACCCTTATACAAATAAAAAATCCTGGTAACACTGAGTTTTTAAATTTCCATGATTGTGGTGGTATGATTTTCTTTAACAAATTTTTAAGGAGGGCAATCTCCATCCCAAAATCCATGGTTAAAAAAACAATTCCACTATTGGTGTATATATTGGTGGTAGAGTGAATTCATATTCAGTACACACATGGTGGTAGTGTCTGATATGACAGTTATGGGATCAGGAAATTAAATAAATTAATTTTAATAAAGGTATAACAAATACTCAATAGGCTATTTTTGGAAAATATAGGCTGATAAATATTTACAAAAATCGCCTGCATTTGACCAATTCAGGTTATTTTGACTTTATCGATTGGTAAACCAGTCGATTTTGACTTCATACGATGGTTACGTTAGGTGATTTTGACTTTGTACGATAGTACAACATTACAACTTGGGTATGATGCCTATTGTTCTGGGGTGCAGATGCCTGACTGGGCATGGCATACCGTATATCGCAACTCAATACAGACTTTTGAACTACTCCAAAATCAGTTGAATTTTATGTCTCTTACTGACTTGTTGACCATTTCTCACATCTGAATATGATCACATGTGTTTTATCCTAGTTTGAAACACGGTTGTGTTTAAAATCAAGCAAATGTTCTCCTTCCCTTTTTATTGACAATTTTTCTAGGGTTAACAGAAGATTCCTTTTCTGGTCTGAACCGTAAGTGGCCTTTTACCAAAAATGGGTGCAGGTACCGATGATGATCTGCCTCCATCTCATCAGACCAGAGTAAATAGAGGAGGAGGTCGAGTGGCCGGGAATGGAAGAGCTGTTCCTGTTGGCTCACTTCCTTATTCTCGGGTCCAGAATGACATGGAGACCGAAATACACTGGATTGAGCAAGAGGCATACGGATCAGTTTTACGAGCCTTCAAAGCTCAGGCTGATGCAATCACATGGGTATGTGAATAATAGTTATGTCTGACGGTCCATCACGGTTGGCTGTGCTTTGTGACATGTAACTGTCGTTGGTTTTCAGGAAAAAGAAGGATTGATGTCTGAATTACGAAAAGAGTTGAGAGTATCAGATGAAGAACACAGAGAGCTCCTAGCCAGAGTAAATGCTGATGAAACCATCAGAAGGATAAGGTCTGTAATCTCTTTCCTTTTTCCCAATCTTGATAGTCAAGATCAGATCTATTTTCAAAGTAGAGCCCATTCATTACCTGTAAAAAGGAATAATAAAGTCTGGCATTTCTCACGGTCCTTTGATAATATGCTATTATTGGGTAACATTTTTCTTGTAAATTTTATTTTTTCTTCTTTTGCTTCAATGGGTTTTCCTTTATGGACTGATGCTTCCATAAAATTTGATTTTCTTCTCATTTCTTTAACGGATGATTATTTTCAGGGAGTGGAGAAAGTCAGGTGGCCTCCAACCTGGTTTGCTTGGTGCTGCACAACCTGGGCATGACCCATCACCTAGTCCTACAGTATCCGCTTCTCGGAAGAAGCAAAAGACATCTCACCAGATGCCTTCTCTATCACTGAATGCACCTTCTCCAAATATACCGCCACAAACAGTTGCTGCATCCATGCATCCATCATCATCAGCTGCAAAACGAGGAGCTGTGGTAGGAGCCAGGGGCAAGAAGCCTAAATCTGTAAGTTAATTATTTGGAAACATATCCTTCTCTTGAGATATTTGTCAAAGTAATTTTTTTTGTCCTTTTTTGGCTACTTTCTTCTTTTCAGGGCCAAACAGTACCCGGTGTTTCCTCAATGAAGCCATTGCAGTATTCTTCTACTCCTCTGGCTGGAAGGGGCCAGGTGGCAAACCGTGGTTCTTCTGGTGCTCTTGTAGCAAGTGAACCTGCTGAGGCGGCAGCTTTTGATCCATTGATTGGCCGGAAAGTGATGACCAGATGGCCTGAAGATAATAATTTTTACGAGGCTGTTATCACTGATTACAATCCAAAGGAGGTAGGACTTTTGACGCTACCATGCATTGTTGATATGAGTCGTGGTTTTTCCCCTTGTGGTATGGATTGTCTATTTGGGCACATGCTAATTATTTTGACATTTTGGATATTGTCTTTTTAGGGGCGGCATGCACTGGTTTATGATATAAATACAAAGAGGGAGACGTGGGAGTGGGTCAATCTAAAAGAGGTAAAGTGTTCTTTTGTGCTCTCCATTATTTCTATTTTATGTGTTTTATGGATGCAGTACTTTTTAAAAAGTTGTCAAAGGCGCCCTCTATACACGCTTTTGTCCAAACATTGGGGGAATGACATTTTGGCATCTGACTTGTGAAGTGATTGTCATTCTGATCATGCTCATGACACAATAAATTTATCGAATGCATGCATAGAAAAATTGACTTCGTTAACACGGTTATATACATGTTCGCAGACATAGACTAACATCCATAGACTATTTTACTATACAAGCATTTATCCCAGCCACGTACCAAAATGCTAGGGATGACACATATCTCTCATAGGCTCAGATATGATGCAGATATGCATGCACACACTCATGCACACCATAGTCAACCAATTCATGATTTTTGAATGATATAAATCACAGATATGTCCTGAAGACATCACATGGGAAGGTGAGGATCCAGGAATATCTCGCCGAGGAGGCAGAGGAGGTCCTGGGCGTGGGATCAAGAAGTCTGTTGGTCGTGGTGGTGCGGTTTCTGGTTTGGGTAGAGGGAGAGGTGGACCAAAAAATCAATCTAAAAAAGATTTCCCACCCACCCAGAATGGCATTGGAAAGAAGGCTTCAGATGATATTGAAATACTTCACACTGATACGCTAATCAAGGAGGTATTCTCATTGCTCGCACAATGTAATTCTTAAGAGTATGATGTTTTAAATTGCCCTTATTGATAACTTCTGGTTATGCCGTCTGAGCAGGTGGAGAGAGTGTTCTCTGTTAACCATCCAGATCCTGTAGAGATTGACAAGGCAAAGAAAATGCTCAAAGTAAGGGCTGTTGGCTTCAATATGTGGATTTTTTAATCCTTTTTTTCCTTCTTCAGTCAACTGACTGTTCACTGGTTCACTTGTCAGGAGCACGAGCAATCGCTAATTGATGCCATTGCAAGACTTGCAAATGCTTCGGATGGTGAAAGTGGTATGACCATGACTTGCACATTAGTTTTTGGTGCGGTTCTCTTTTGTTTATGCACTTCATGTTTCCATATGCACACACGTATGCATGTAGATGCACCACAGGCACACATTTATAATTGTTACAGCTGGCTGACATAAAGGTTGATATGTCTGATTTCTGAATGACTGTTGCTGTAAATGGTTTATGGTCCACCTTTTACACAAGATCATTCACTTAAGGCATTTACTAAATTTAATATTATAATAAATATTTGGGGAAATTAATCAAAATACCCATGAGAGATGCATGATTTAGCATTTTACACCTTTGACACTATTCCAACTCATGATCATGTCTTATTATGGTTATTTTGAAATTAAATCAAACAATATGGGTACAATGTTAAATAGTTCATCCCATATGGGTATTTTGAAAATTTTCACTAAATTTATGAATTTGATTGAAGATGAATTAAAAATTTTGAAGTTATTTCCTTTGGATTGAATATTTTTCATCATTTCTTCTTTGATAATCTTCGATAAAAAAATTGGCATGCATAAAATCTATTGTTGTGTTTTTCTTCTTTCCATGATTTATTGGTTTACATATTCTTGTGCAAAGCATTTTTCTGTGCGCATGCGTGTGGTTGTGTGCTGTTGTGTGTGTGTTTGAGATAGATAAACAACTAAGGGCCGTAACCCGGTGCTGGTACCACCTAAGCAGGGTCCTGGGAGGGGTGGGCTGGAAACGGTCTTAACCTTTGGCTTATGCACAATGTGGCTGCTCTCAGGACTCGAACCTGCGCTCTTGTGCTGGCTACCCGCGCTCTTTACCGTCACACCAATTGATGGTCCCCTTGTGCTCTTGCGCTTGAATATTTGTATGTTCATTGTACAGTCCAATAGTTTACCAGGGAAGCCATTCCTAGTTGAAATTACTAGATTCAGTTGGGCCCGATACTTCCATTCATTTACACTTCATTTACTTCATTTCTTTCTCATTTAGTCTCTCAACAGGCTTCGGTTTTGATATGGCTCAATACTTATTCTGTGGTTCCTTATTAGTAGCTATGGAATTGATCGTGATTTTTGTACCGTTTTTAGTTAGTACATTTTAGACTTATTTCTGTTGTATGATCAATCAAAATCCTCTCCATATTTTCCTTATTATGGTGGTTTATTTGATGTTATACTTGCATTTCATCTCTTAATTATTATCTTCTTAACAAGAAATATGTTAATAGCATCGACGACAACAACAATAGCAACAATAATATTATTAATTTTAATTTTTAAGTTCCCAATTTTTATAGTCAACATTTCATTTCAAGGAAATGAAATATACATCAAAATTATTCATTCACAAAAAAAAGAAAAAAAGAAAAGAAAAAAAGGTATACATCAAGTTGCTGTGCCGACAACTAATGATGTATTCGTACTGCACTTCAACTAGATTCTTGCAAGACCTTGACAGCAATGGTTTTCTACTAACTTTGATCATGAAAGGGGTTTCTGTTGAGTGCACATCTGATACTGTAAAGTTTGAAAGATGACGAACCTTATATAGGATATCTGCCAATCTCCACGGGTTTGGAGACTCCATACCTGCCCATATGTATTATTGAGTTGTCTTCTAGCACCGATGGGTCAGAGGATTTACGGAGAATGCACCTCAGTTCTCAATACTACTAGGAGAGTGGTTATTCCCAATGTTGTTGGGATCTGAAGCAGGATTGGTGGCATGGGATATTTGAATGCTAGAAGATCCCTATGGTTGGGAGCGCAGTAGGTGTAATGCATATGCTAGGGATCTAGATCCTCAAATGTTAGGGATCGAGATCACAACCTTTCGGGGAACTTGATCTCCTTTTGGGATCTCGATTCTAAGCTTTTAGGGATCTTGCTCCCAGCCTTAAAAAGTATGTGTAGTCTAGGATTTTATATACTCTTTGAGGTACAGATTTCGTTATTTGTAGTATATTACAAGTGTAGTTATATTGCTGGCTGGCTATAAATAAACAAAATCATTAGTCTGGTTGTTACCTTGGTCTTTACGATTGGGATCGAGATCCCTAACAGTTAGAATTGGGATCCCCAACAGTGAGATTAAGATTCCAAACTTTAACAATCGTGATTCCTTGAAGATCCCTTCCCGGAGTGCTGGAGCGAGATTTTGGAGTGGGATTGCCACCTATGTTGGGAGATCCTGGCAACTTCTTAGAGCTACCATCAAAGCTGGACTTGATAGCCCCCTTTAAAATGGGGAGTCTATGCCTTCGCTGCATGCTACTGTCTTCAGTTCTCATCCCTTTTTCTCTGAATCCTGAACTTGACCTCTTGCTCATTTCCTCAGATGAGGACCCTGAAAAAATTTTTTGCTTGTCGCCATCCAAATGCTCTCAATGATATGGCTAGGGGCACATGTTTTCAGGATCATGCATTTTGATCTAAGTGGTGTTGATGTTCAACCTTCAATGATGGGTCCCTGCATGCAATATCGCCTAGAGTACATAAAAAGGAGGTCAAAAGAAACACCTTCAATGATGGGTCCACTGCATGCAATATCGCCTATAATATGTAAAAATGAGATCAAAAGAAACTCCAAAATTGTTTTGGTGAATATTGAGCTACGAAAGAAAAGGTCATAGATCGTCTCTTCATTACTTGGACACATAAGTCAAATTTTTGGATGCTAGAAATTGTCTTGCTAATAATTGATAGCTTTCAAGGGGCTGATCGAGCACCACAAACCAACTAAAGAGAAGACTTTTTCAGAGTATGCACCCTCCACACGTAATAAGTACTGGAGCAGTCGCTGAATTGCTGCTGTAGAGTGTGACAAAGGGGTCCAAAGAGTAAGTATCAACACATATTTCATCTCCAAAGCATCCATCATCTCCAGTTGATGGAATGAACATGACTTCATTTTGTGAAACACAACTTAGTAATTTCTCTGTCCTGAGATCCTCCCTGAAAGTCAGGGTGCCATACCCAGCAGCCATCTAGTCTCTTGAAATGATCTCCAAACAGATGCATAGAGGTTGGACCTTACATTTGTGAACCTCAAAAAACAGGAATTGGCAAAGAAGCTTCCCCAGGCATACATCCTCCTAGAAAAGAAATCCAATTCTCCTCTCCCACTGTAGACCTAGTTTCCTTTCAGAACTCAAGTAAAACGCTCCTTTGCTATCTTTATATGCTAGTACACCTGCTCAGCTCGATGGAGACTTCCCTGACCGTACTATGACATACTTAGCCTCAACAACTTTGGTCCAAAACACAACACTGTTTGCGAAATGGAGCCGCTTGGTCATTTGGAGGTCCTTGATCCCTGGGCCTTTTGATTTACAAGATTGTCCCATTGAGCTAAGAGCTTGTTTGAATAAGATGTTGATGGTGGTTTAACTGCAAGATGGAGGCCCACCTGATGATGTGAACCGTACACAAAAAGTGGCTTTTCAATATACCCTGCACTATCAAATGCACTTACAGAAACACCCCACTGAGTGTGGTCCGATGAGAAAATAGCTAGTTTGAAATGAATTGCGAACCAAATGGAAAGGACAGCGGGTCATTGTTTGTCCTTAAGTGTAACTTGTTCACTTCATTGCATTTCTTGCTGAATTTTCAGGTTTGTGAGCATAGTAATTGAAATCTAGGAGAGGAACATGAAGTACGTGGGATATAACTAATGGTCCACTTTGTAAGGGACACTTTGGTCCTTGTCTGGAAAGCAAGATGTTGGTTCTATGAGATGCGTCCAGTATTTCTCTATATCTACAATCCGTGGGCTGTTCTCAACTTTCCCACACTCAAACGTGGGGTCCGGATACTGGCTTGAAAGCTCTTCCACCATGTATGCTAAATTGGGCAAACTCCTTGCAGTTATTAGATATTCAATTCCAGATTATCCTTCCTTTGCAAGTGAGCTCAATGATACAACATGCCGGCCTATGATTCTCACTTTGTTTGAAGGATGCCTCGCTCGAAATTAGTGTCATCTTTGAGCAGAAGTGGCAACTACTTCCCTTTGTGGTGGTCTTAAACCTATCAATGGCAATCATGGCTTGATAACAATCTCATTGAAAGGCCTATGTTTTCTTATAGTAGTGAACTTTAATGGAGCCCTTACCTGAGATCCCTAGAGTATTAGGCAATCCAGAGGAGAACCCATCACCATTTCTAAGAGTCCAATGAGACCCACACGTACCTCTTCTCCATATCTCCTCAGAATGATGCAGCCCATTTGATATTCTAAGAGACTTTGATCTCAATGATCCTATGCCTTTTCGTATCAAATCATCATTAGTAACCCTGCTCTTCCCCTTGTCTTCCATAAAATGTCTTTTCCAGTTACACAACCTTGTCTATTTGTTTTTTTTTTTATAATGAGATTACGCTTAAAAATATGCTTCTTATGATTTTAGAACAATCGGTATAACTAACGCCTTATTTTTGGAAGGGGCTATTTTGTGCATGACTTTTTAGTAACTATGCCAACGATGCAATCTAGATCCACATATGAATGGTCTGAACTGTCAGATGGGGGTTGTTATGAAAAAGTTGGTTGTGAAGACTAGACTCCTCCTGTATTTCTGATAAAAAGAAAACCATAGAAATTGTCGCAATAAATCTGACCTTGTCAAACTTTGAATGTATCAAACTAAATGGATTTATACTTCCGCAGGAGAAAAATGTACGCTTTCTCGGATAGAACCCCACCAAGGGGTATTTTTTGGACCCAATGTTCAAAAACGCAGGGGCGGCCGCCTAGCGGTTTTGGTTTGAGCTGCCTAGGCGGGCGCCTCCCCCCATTTTATTATATATAGAATTGTCATTTTTTTTATTTAATAAGTAAGGCGGTTTTGGTTTGAGCTGCCTAAGCGCTAAGGCGGCTCGCCTAGGCAGGCGCCTCCCCCCATTTTATTGTATATAGAGTTGTCTTTTTTTTATTTAATAAGTAAGTTTTGTTTGTAATATGTTAACATGTCGGAAGTACAGATCAAACATAATCATTTGCGACTTTAGTTTGTGAATGAAATAATTATAACT